GGCTCAGCGTTTGCCTGTATAGTTCTGCTACAAACCAGAGGCTGCAAGCAGGGCCGGACAGCCAGGAGTTGGCGGGGCTGCCTTGGATTTATTTGCTCCTCTTACATTGATTTCATATTAGTTTCCAAAGCGATGAATGATCTCAAAGCTGGGTTTTGTTAGCAGAACACAAACAGGAGACAGGACTTACTTGCCCCCAGCTCCCTTTAATGAGGTCATTATCAAAGCGTGAACAAGTCTATGAATGTTTTATTGAAAGCGCATCGTTAACTTGTATCCATCCTTTTCTCCGTGTGGCATTGTGATATTGCTGTCTGTGGCACATCTTACCCGATATAGCCCGAGATTTCCCCATTCTCTGTAACCAGGCAACCCTTTCTGAATACCCAAAAATTGAAAAGAACCGCTTAGTCTTCAAGAAAGTCCTCAATAATAGTGGAAAAGAACAAAGATCCAGGAGACAACAAAATGCCATAGGGGTGACTTTTCATGAGCAATTATCTCTCATTAATCAGAAGAACAGCTGCAATATTAATTTTCTCTCTTTCTTCCCCTCTTTTCACAGTCCCCAACATTTGAATAATCATAAATTTTGATTTTATGAAGGAGACACATTTTCAGAGACTGGAAGAAAACAGCTACCTAGGTGGGAAAAAAGGGAGAAAACGCTCTCCCTTTATTTTTTATTTTATTATTTTTTTGTTTGGGTAAAGCTGCCAACAAAGCCATATTAAAAAAATAAAACTAAGAAATGCCAGAGAAAATGCACCCCTCCTCCTAGAGGGTTACATGGCAGTTGAGACCCTCTTTCTTGTCCACCCCCACTTCCCTCCTTTCCTCCCCCTGCCCAGCTCTTTCCCTAGCTTTGCTCTGAGCAGGGCGGAGGGAAATGTCCCTGGCGTCTGGCGTGGGAGTTTCAGCCGGGTTTCTGCCGGCTTAACTTGCAAACGTGAAGCCAAGCGTTGTCGATCTGACCAAAGAGACACTCTTTGGGCGTAACTTGTATTGTGGCCATCAAAAGCCCTCCAGCCTTGGATGAACTGAGACGTGCATTCAGCAGAAATGGGGCGCTCGCTTTCCTTTCAGGCTCTGGAGAGGCGATTGTTCACAGGACGTGTAGCCAGAGTGGAAACCGTGGGTCCCCATATAAGGCTGTAACCTGCAAACAAGTTAAAAGAATCTCATTAAAGCCAGGCCTAGAATTAACAAACACTCATAGAGAACCTAAGCCTTCTCTTTGCCCTCCCCACCTTGACAAGCTGTGGATTGGGTGAAAGGGTCATTTACTGTACAGGCTAAAAGATGGGGTGCTGAAATGCCCCCATGGTGTTGCTTTTAATGTAAATCAGGGCAGGGTGAACCGAAGGAAGTAACAGGTTGCAGGCCCTATGCTGAGGCAGTACCCAACATGCTTTTGCTTCTGCCTGGTGTTTATTCAGAGTAGATGGGCCTTTGAGACCTGAATTCGCTTTTGTGCTTAGCACAGTTGCAGGAATTCAATTGAGCTCTCTGAGAAGGGGGAGGTCTTCTGAGAAGAGTGGGGGGTTTGGCTTAGAATTTCAGGAAAAAATGTCTCCATTGGTCTCCCAGCTTCCCAGCCCTAGGAGCAG